AGAACCCATCTGTTTGCTTTTTTGCAGAAGTATTTCCTTATGAATTGTCCTTTCCCATTTCCACAATTTGCATTTCTGCTTAATGTCCTAGAATTGTGGTGTTGTAAGATCATGGAGCATTATTAGTTTGGGTGTCCTACAACTTCCATACTTTATCATTCATTTATTTTAGTTCTATACTGCTCAGATGAACCATGATTCATGAATCCAATAAAATACAATCTAAAAATACTACAATAAAATATAAAATTACATTAAAATTAAGAAGCACATTTTAACAACTAAAGCCAGCCCATACTGCTGGACATGCAATCATCCCTGCCTCCATTTGGGCTGGTAAATGTCTCAGCAAAGAAGGTAGTCTTAACCTATTGTCAGAAAGATAGTAAAGTTCAGCCTAGTGTGAAAATCATTTCATAATTTGGGAGCTATCATAGAAAAGGAATACGATGGAAGAATATTTTCACCAGGATAATTTGTTCTTGAAATCATGTTATTTTTAAACTACAGTTTGAGATATACCTCAAGACCGTATAAGTTCCAAGGCCTGGTTCTCTCATTGCTGGCTATAGGTTGGAAGGCCTTTTCTGTGATGGCATCCAAATTATTGCCATCTTTCCTAAGGTTTATTTTTCTGGAGCTAATTTTTCACATAGCTGATGAACTGTTCTTTTGCTACATAATGGTGTACAAGGTTTTTTAAGAGTTTCCTTTCTTCTGTTTTATAATAATGTTAATGCTCACCACAGTCCAGCAAGATAAGGCAGCTGAAAAAGAGTGATGCACCCAAGGTTGGGTCACTTTGCAGTGTTAATAGCCATATGGGTATTTGAACCTGGTTCATTCCTAATCTAGCATGCTAACTACTTCACCACACACTCCTATCCATTGTGTTTATTTTGTTGTTTTGAATTATATGGTGCTGGTGTTAATTTCCCTTGAGATCATTTTACAGTTAAAAGAGTTGTACAAAGATTTCACAATTGAATACATATTTGCTTTAAGTAGGGACTTTTCCTGTACCACCAAAACCAGCCCAAGACACTTAGTTATTGGTTAATCACCCTTTACATCTATTTTAGCCCAGCTCTGAAGCAGGGTAGTTCTGAAAATTTAGTATAGTACAGTTCTGAAAATATTCCTGTACAGATTTTAGCAGTGGTTTTCAATTTTCTCTCACATGTAGGCTGCAGTCCTAAAACATTTTGAGAACAAGCAATAATTTTCGTTCTTTCATTTGTTCATACCTGTAACCTCTAGCTGTAAAAATATTGTCAATGTAACTATCACTGCATTCCAAATGTACATGCAATGAGGAATTTTAAAAAATAGAAATGAAAAGCATGCCAGTTATTAATGTAATCTGATGTGGGTGAAAGAGGAGAGTGCAAAAGCTGGCTTGAAACTCAACATTAAGAAAACTAAGATCATAGCATCCGGTCCTATCACTTCCTGGCAAATAGATGGGGAAGACATGGAGGTAGTGACAGATTTTATTTTCCTGGGCTCCAAGATCACCATAGACGGCCAAGAAATTAAAAGATGCTGCTCCTGGGGAGAAAAGCTATGGGAAATCTAGACACCATACTAAAAAGAAGAGACATCACACTGCCAACAAAAGTGCGTATAGTCAAGCCTATGGTTTTCCTAGTTGCAATGTATGGCTGTGAAAGCTGGACCATAAGGAAGGCTGAGCACCAAAGAATTGAGGCCTTTGAATTGTGGAGCTGGAGGAGATTTCTGTGAGTCCCTTGGACTGTAAGGAGACCAAACCATTCAGTCCTAGAGGAGATCAACCCTGACTGTTCTTTAGAAGGCCAGATACTGAAGATGAAACTCAAATACTTTGGCCACCTAATGAGAAGGAAGGACTCCCTGGAGAAGAGCCTAATGCTGGGAACAATTGACGGCGAAAGAAGAAGGGGACGGCAGAGAATGAGGTGGCTAGATGGAGTCACTGAAGCAGTTGGCGTGAGCTTAAGTGGACTCCGGGGGATGGTGGAGGACAGGAGGGCCTGAAGGAATGTTGTCCATGGGGTTGCACTGGGTCGGACGCGACTTCATGAATAGCATAGCATAGCATAGAATTGCCTTCATCTGGATTCCCTATCTTGTTTGCATAATATGTGCTATCCATATTATTATTCAGTTCTAACCTAGCCTGAATAGCTGAATACTGTCACTCAAGTAACTCTTCTTTATTAAATACCCAGATTGAATTGCTTGGACCCAGGGAAGGGTTTTTTAAATTTCATTTTTCCAATGGCAGCTCTTCCCCTGAAGGTTGGAAGCCTTTCAGATCAGTGGAACAGTGTTCCGTTTCTAGATGGCAACAGATATGCTACACCTTTGGTGCATATATATGCCATTTGAATTTTAATGAGCAATCTTATGTCTAGTAGTTTGAATTTTAGCATAAAAAGTATTTTTCTATGTATATTTTTTAGATTATGCTGCAGAAATATATGATACTAGAACCAGAATATATTACAGAAGTATGTGATTCTGTTTATATTGCAAAAAGAGCCATGGTAAGCAAGAGCTATAATAAACAAAAACGTTCTTGCCCTGAAAGTACTTTGCACCTTGCCTATACCCAATATAAAGAGCAAGCATAGGCCCGGTATTCTGGCCACATCCCTCTGAGCTTTATATGTTCTGTTGAACACAGGAAAGGCCCCATAGTATGCATTCAGATGTTTGCATGTAGCAAACCCTTTCAGGCAATCAGCTGAATTTGTGAACTTTAAGGGATTTCTACTGATGTTGGAACAGTTCTAGTTGATTCAATAACCATGAGTTGGTTGAACATGCTGAGATAGGGAAGGACATGAGAAAATGTAGTTTCTGGACTTGTCGGGATCAGAGTCTGATTCACCCTGCAAGTGCCTGCAAAACCAGGAACACGACTGTAGGTGTGTGGCAATCATAGAGTGCAGCTGCAAGCCCTTGAGAGCTACATGTAAAGGGTTATTGTTCCTTTTTGTCACAACAAAACAAGCTGTTGTGGTGGCTGCTCTGTGCTGTAGGTTCTAGTCTTGCTTCAAGTTCCTGTACTTGCCTGCCTCCCTCCTGTCTCCCTCCCTCACACTTTTCTTTTTCCTGACTCCTGCCAGACTCCAGCCTGACCCTGCCCTGCCGGGTGCCTAGACCCTGTTCTTCCTGACCTTGCACTACTTCTGACCTTGCTTTTCACTGCCCATTGCCTTTATCCTAGACCTGACATTATTTCAAGTAAAGAATAGGAACAGGTTAAGATACAGGTTTAATAGAAAGATTTATTTTGAGACGGATTTCTGTGTTTTACCTTCATTCTCAGCCTTCAAAGAATTTAATATTTTTCCTTAGTGACTTATGTTTTCTTGGTTATGGTGTGCCACTGGATAAAGTTATAGTTGTCTTCTTTGTACAAACTACATTGATTTGAAAAATTTCATTGTACGAAACTGGTATTCACTTTCATATGTTTTGAAAAATAATCAACAGAATAACCTTTTCATTCTTAAAACTGGCTGCGTTGATAAACTACTAGCTGCAAGGCATTCAAAATTAATTGGAAGTGACATTTACAGTCCAATATCCCTCTGGTTATTCTATCCGGAATTAGGCAATAGAGAACCTGACTGGTTTAGAAACGTGTGTTATTTATTTCTGATTCTTTTTTATTGGATAGTAATAAAAGAATTTATAGATGGCTTCGTTTCTTGGAAGTCCTTAAATCTTGATTATAACATAGCTTACATCATAAAGTATAATTATTTTATGCTGTTTCAAACTTTATAATAAAGAGCTGGCAGCCCCTTAAATTTGAACACTTGATCAAACAGTAGTAGAAACTGTTGTATGAACCTGACAAGCATAGGTTAAACCATCTTTGCATAACCTGTGGTTTGTTTTAGTCTTGTTTAACATGCAAATAACCATGTTTACAGGATTCACATGGCACTGCAACCCCCTAGTAGGGGCTGTGTATTCAACCTGGTGCCTGGGAGCACCGCAACCCATCATGGATTTAATAACCCACAGTGAGTTACCATCTGAACCCCATCACTGTGAATAATCACAGTGAATTCACAATGTCTTGTGAATAAGAAGGCCTAGGCTTTAATCATTTGTCTATTGTGCCAGTAGAGATTGGAAGATCCCCTTACTGCAGTGTGTGATCGTCATTTAAGTGTCTTAAACTATGGGTTACAGTGTTCATGGAGAGCAAAGTTGTATCTAATATGACCATTCCCCAAGATTCCAGCACAGGTGTGCTGCAAGTTCTTGTTACAGTTTTTCTAATTATGACTGACAGATCATTAGCTATTTATTATTATTTATATTGGTCACCTCATTAAAAATTCCAGATTTTATACAGACACTTAAATTTAGCATATTAGCATATTAAAATGTAGCAGATTAAAAATATAGCTATATTCTAGTATGCTACTCCATATTTTTCATAAGACTTATCATAGGATGGACAATATATTGCATTCTTTGCTTTAGTTCTCTTGTACAATTACTTGCATATAAAATTGTACAATTACACACTCTTAAGAATATGTTGGAATATTAAAGCAGATAGAATATGAATGGAAGTGATATCTTCTGTTAGGAGAACTGTCACTTTCACTGATTTTCCTTTATTGCTGAGTAATCATTGTTCCTTATTGCTGTATGGTATTCTTTCATAGTGTGCAATTCTGTGCATTCTGCCTTTTGTCATCTCTTGCTATCCTGAGAACTCCAATTTTCTTATACTAGACTTTTCAGGGCTTCAGAAATACATTTTGATCTGTTAATGAAAGGTAAGCAGTTTCTGAAGAGGCCAGAGGCAAATCTTTAATTGTTAATTTATTTTATTTCTTTTAAATATCTGTTGCTAGTTTTGAGATGTCACCAAATAACTTATGCTTTTGTCACCTGCCAATCTTGTAGCATTCTGCTGTGACCATGTAATAGATTGAACATTTTGCTTAACCTGAGCTTAACAAATTTTCCAATTTCTGCAGGTTGAAAACTGGTGTCCTCGTTTACCCTGGAGATCAAAAAATCCTAATGAAGAAACTGATCAAAAGACAATGGTAAGAGATTGCAGTGGTACGCTGCCTTTCAGTTTTCAGCATCTGTAGTGAGTGGGGTTTAAGGTATTTTATTTTCAGCTTTTTGTATAGCAATATAAATAATAGACTATAAATCCAGTCCCAAGTGGCCTGTAATTCCAGTACTAGACTAACATATGGGTAGGTGAGGGATTGTTTTGAAAGACACAACTTGAGAAATTGCGAAATGAAAGCCAGTGAAAATTTGAATCTGCTTCTTTTTAAATATGGTAAGTTTAAGCTAGCAAAGATCTGTGGTACATAAACATGTTTAATTCAGAGTCTTTGTATGGTGGTCAAACATCTACAGTACCTGAAAAAGGAGTTTTTAACTTCACACTCCACCTCAGTTATGTAGCTCATGGTGATACTATGGTAGATGGAGGGCACATTTGGTGTCAGTTTTGAATATGTTCAGGGTGTTGTGAGTTCTGGTTGTATAAGGGTTTAATAACCCTCACATAACTCATGGGCTGTTTTAAGACCCATGCACTGGGTTCACAACAGCTCCCAAGCAGGAATTACATATTCAGCTTGGCCCAACTGAGTCATACTTTAGAGGATTCATAAGGGGTAAATAACCTATTTTGGAATACTGCTGACTTATTTAACCTTGTTTCATTGAAGGCTGAAATCAGAACCAACTTTGATATGCTGTACAAAATGATGTCCAGGCATGAAGAATTCCGGTGGATGATGCTGCGAATAAGGAGGATGGCTGATACCTGGATAGAAGCAATTAAATCGCTGGCTGAAAAGCAACACTTGGAGAAGAGAAAGCGGAAAAAAGTGAGTTCTGCTTCAAGAAATAAACAAAACAATTTCATTGCTACATCTGGGACGCTCGAGTACATGGTTTAGCTCCATATCTCTCAAATGCTAGTTGTTATCCATTCAGTGACAACACTCACTATTTAAATATGGAAAGTGGTGGGAGGAGGGAGAGAAAGAAAGAGAGCTTCCTCATGCTGACACTATGCAGTGGCCTATTATGTTCTAGGTGCTATGTGCTGTCTAAAATTGATTATAAGGTCTAGCAGGCATATAATTTAATTTAAGGCACAAGTCATGAGGAAGAAGACATGTAAGTGCAAAGGTGCAGTGAGTGAGAGGACCCATACAGTGTTGTGGTTGGAGTGTTGGACTGGGAATCAGGAGATGTGTGTTGGACTGGGACTCAAGAAATGTGTCTTAAAGTCCCCACTTGCCCTTTTTGACCATTCAAAACAGTTTAGAGACTCAGCAGATATAGGAGGCTCTCTATGCAGACAGAGGAAATAGCACAGTCCCTAACCTCAGATTAATAGTATCTGAATTGGTCATTTCAAAAATAGGTGCCAGAAGAAGCTTTCTTTCCCTCCTCATTATATTTTCTTTCTTTTGTCATGTCCATTAGAGTATGAACTGACAAGAAGAGACTGTTTTACTTGTTAGTCTTTTAGAATTACACATAAAGGTGCTTTCTAATTGATAAATAATACATAGAAAAGCTGGAATGCTTATTTTTCCTTTAAGTTTGCTATTTATTTTTGTTTATCAAACAAATACAATTGTAAGACCTGGCATTCAAATTCCTGGCATAGAAGGCCAGTATATGCATCTGGCTAATTTGACCCAAATATTGAAAGAAGAATTCATGCTCCATTCAACAGGAATCTACCACATGTTACACCAATACCTATATCTTTCTTTCTTTTTCAGGTCCTTGTTCATCTGGGACTCCTAACAAAAGAGTCTGGATTCAAGATTGCAGAAAATGCCTTTAGTGGTGGCCCACTTGGTGAATTAGTCCAGTGGAGTGATTTAATTACATCTCTTTATTTACTGGGCCATGACATAAGGATTTCAGCTTCATTGGCAGAGCTCAAGGAGTAAGGAGATTATCTTCCATTCTGAAACTTAAATACCAAAAAACACTCCCCAAACTCTGTTGAAGTCTTTATTGTGTAGCCTATAATTTTGTGAAGGGGAAAATGAAAGTGATAATTCACTGAACAGTGATAAGGAGATTATTTTCATAACCTAAATATATGCACTGTGAAAAGGATGATGTGTTTGCATTGTAGTTTCTTCTCCTGAGTCCTGATTAAATGAAAACTGGAAAATTTAAACTAAGCAGCTTTATCTTCTGCCATTACAGGTGTGTTAGACATCTGCAGCAAGAATAAAGCCTGGCTTTTCAAATTTATTGACTTTTCCTTAGATTTACTTTATTTATTAACATAGAACTAAAATAAAATTGACTGTAGCTAATTTGTGTGAAACCTGTCATTCTTTCAGGTTAGTTTTGGGTTCTGAGCTATTAGTTGAAGACCTTGTTTTATATCACATCACCTATAATTGCCAAATGATTTATTTGCATGACAACCATAGTTGTACTGCTCTTGGGATGGTGCAGTCTAGTTGCCTGAACAGGTGTTTCTGAATGGGCACTTGAGAGTTGAGCATCCATGATGAGGCCCCAAAGAGCTGTTCAGCTCTACAGTGTCTCAACAGCATAAACCTGACATACATTTTCTATTTTGTTTTCTCATAAATTAGACTGCACAGTTAATGGATGGCTGCTTGCCCTGGATGTATATGTATTATATATTGTACATATGCAGTAATAAATAAAAGTTTTCAGTGTGAGCTAGAAAAATTAGTCATGCCTCTTTAGTGCTTGCTCATAAAGTATGAAATGCACATCTATGAGATTTTTATTTCTCATCTCAAATGAATACTGGCCTTGTAGTATTGCGTACTGATTTCCTGCCTATATTGTGTGTGTTTATACAAATTGAAAGTTATCCCCGACTGGAAGTTTCCATGCATTAATGCACAACAGTAGTACTTGTTGAAATATGAATCCAGAGTAGCTGTAAAAAGAGACAGGTATGCACCCTCAAGAGATGAATAATGTGACAAGTTGCTTCCATCCCTTTGACAAAAGGAAGCAGCAACCCCTCTAGTTCAGCTTCTGTCTTGGCAGACAAGCTGTTTCAGTTTTTCCCCATAGGCAGTTCACCATCTTAAGACATGGAGCAGGTTTTCACATAAGGCTAAGCCACTCAAAGCTATCAGGACTCATCTGCTCATTTGCCATCGTACGTTACCTCTGACAGACGCTCAGGCAAATGGCAGCTTGGTGTGGCTTGTTTCTTCCCCACAGTTCTTTAGCCTGTTCCCTCCATACATGCCTATGGCCTTTGCAGTGTAACCCGTCTTGTCTCTCTCCTGCTTCCCCATCCCCTGTGATCACTACCCCATTTGGAGTGGTTTGCTTACCAGCTTTTTTCCCCCTGACGCCTTGGAAATGTGTAAACGGAGTCTTTTTGTTTTGTTTTAAATCCCAAGTCTTTCAAGAGCACAGATGTGGCTGAGCAATATATGTAATCTTGGCTGGTCAGTTCTCTTGTATGTTTCATCTGTTAAAAGATGGTTCAGGTAACATACAAGAAAACTGACAAGGTGAGACTGCATATAGGCTTGTTTGTGCAGAGTTGCAAAGGATCCCGAGAAAAATAATTCTAAGGAAAAGGAGGAACTAATCTGTGCCATTTGCATTCTGCCTCCTGTGAAAAGCCTCCATGGATACAGGAGGCTCACCTTTCAGATTGCTGTCCCCTGTGAGTTGAGAATGACAGACAGGATGGGGGACAGTGGTGGAGCTGGAGATACAGTTCTCACACATTGATTTTAAATCCTTTCTGAATGTCTGAACTAGGACTAGAAAAGAAAACAGAACCCAAAATCTACTGGAAGGGTAATTTACCTGTACTGGGCTGCTAGGCAACCAACAGTGTATCCACAAAATAAGAAAAAATAGGTTTGGTTACAAAGGACAATATCCAGTATGCTTCCTGCAGTAACACAAGAGGAAGTTAGCAGTTCGAGGAACAGTTGGGAACAAGTAGTAATGCACATTTCCAAAACAGGGCAGGTAAACAGAATTTACAGGAGGAAGCTTCACCAGTCAGTCCCAGTCCAGAAATAAGCATTTTCATTTCCTTTTGCAACCAATGGAGTGCAAGTACATTGTAAACATTTGCTAAATGACCGAAAAGGCACTTCTTACACAGAAGATATCGCCGTGTTTCTATTGATTTCATCCTGCATAGTGCTCTTGTGTAATATCCCATAATACATATTTGCCTAATGAGTATGTGAGAAGCCTAGGGTATGTTTCTGTGCAAGGAGCTGCACTAGGGAGGAGAAGAAAAGTAAACCTTGTTGCATAAGTCATGGGGGTCATTAAGAGGATCATTCAAATCAGAAAAATTGTGGTTTATAGCAGTCTTCAGCAGAAGGTGGATAGGGATCTGCTGGTAGATATGGCTGTTTTGCTGTTGATCAGTAGGTAGTGTGACTTCTACTTCCTGAAGAACGGGAACACTAAGAAGCTTTTTCTGCTAAATTAGATTGCTGAAAAAGAGTGTTTTCAGGGAAACTAGGAGTGGAGTTTGTGTGAAAGGACTTGTGAGCTTGGTGCTAGCACTGATCACAAATTCCCAATATGAGCATGTGCTCAGAGGCATCCTGTTCTCCAATTTTTACCATATATCTGTGCTAAAAACTGTTTTCCTTCTGGCTGCAGTTATAGTCTTCAGGTTCTAGTAAAAGCCAGAATAGATTCTGCAAATCTAAAGGCTACCCACATCTGTGTCAGGAAACTTGTTTGGCAGGATTCTCAGGCTGCAGTGGATCCAGGTCAGACTCTCTTCTTCAAGAATCTTGTCTTATGTTCAGGAAAAATGCCACCTCCTTAGCTATCTCGCACTGAAGTAATAAACTTACTGATAACATTCTGTTTGCTTTCTAATCTTCATGTGAACATGGGAATTTGCTGAAATATTATTTTCTTCTTATCACTAGGATTATGAAGAAGGTTGTTGGTAACAGATCTGGCTGCCCTACACAAGGAGATAAAGTAGTACAGCTTATTTATATTGACATTGTTGGACTCACTCAATTTAAGAAAACCCTGGGACCATCCTGGGTTCATTATCAGTAAGTATTAGTTTCTTATAAAACAATTTTCTTCAACAAAAGGAGTCATAGCTTTACTTACATAAGGCATTTTAGCTTCCCTTTCATAGCAGTTCCTGATCTTGAACTTGCATTTTTCACTTGCTCTTACATGTGATGTTCAAAGGTTGAAGCAAAAGTGGGGCTGTGCTGCTGGCCATGATGGCACATTCCCAATTGAGCTCTGTCCCTGAAAAGAAAGCCCTGTGTGTGACCAGGTGCTTGGTTGTAGCGGCTTCTCAGGATCAGGACACCAGAGACATACTGAGGCAGCGGGAGGAATAGCCAGGAGATCTTCCTGGCAACAGGCCCTCCACAGCCACAGAGTCCATATGTGTGGGTGCACAGATGGACGTTTGAAGAACAATAGTTGCAGGTAAGCAGCCTGACTTTGCCTTCCATCTGAGGAACTGCTGACGCATGTGTGGTGGTTTTTACATGCTGTCACGTCATCTCTGCCTTATGGCAACCCTGTGAAGAAGTGAAAGCCCTCCAAAATGTTCGGTCATTGGCAGCCCAGCTCAGCTCTTGCACACTCGGGGCTGTGGCTTCTTTCCTTTTCGGAGAGCTGCACTAAAAGAACAGATGGTATGAACAGGGTTGAAAGTGCTGATATTGGGGATGCGGTGCTCCAGGCAAGCCAGTGGTACTGCTTCATTCCTGCTTCAATCATGAGCATATTTTAATTGTGTTATTGGTAATTGTAATGGCCAGCCAGAAAGCATGATGCTAATGGGCAGCCTTTAAACAAAACAACAAACAAACATAATAACATAATCAAAATGTAATGCTCTAGTTTAAGAATATGACTCCTGATTTATGCAAACTTTAATCTGATTCAGTGTGGATTAGCTAATCTGACAATTATCATTTATATGCCACCGATGAAGACCAGATCTTAGAAAAAGATCTGGCAACTGGAATGAATACTAACTTTATATATTGATAAGTTGTATTATTTTTCTGTCTTCCAGTAAGAATGACATTTTAATAATATGTTAAAAAGTATTTTAAGCACATTTGTATTGAAATATTTGTAAATACACTTTTAAAATGTTATACATTTTAAAATAGTCATTCTGAATTCTAGATTCTTCATTAATTTATTTGATCAGGGATTGTTTCTTTTTGTTATCTTGGCTGCTCAGATGCAATGCCAAACTATCATTTGGTGCTATGAAACAAGCAATATACGCGTATGTTCTCCATGCCTTTTCCGTACTCGGTTTGTTACTTCATGTTTTGCTGAACCAAGCAGGTCACAATACCCGGAGTAATGAAGTATAGTTTGTACTTGCTCTCCAAACCAAGCTATCAAATCAGCTTTAAATTGTGGCTTGCAATTCTATTTTGGTGCAAAAGCACAATTCATACTTTGAGGGTTTCATTGTAGTGGCTAGCTAGGGTTTGTGGTAAAATGAAAGCAGTTATTTGAAGCTGATCCAAAGGAGAATGTTATGCACATCAAACACACATATTTTTCCTGTTAATGCCAAGTCATGGTTTGGCATTATATCTGGACAGAGTTTTAAAGTCACTGAAATATGATGAAAGAATATGAATGGATAATATGTACTCATTTTTAGGGAATGCGGTTTATAACACTGGAATACAGCTTCTATAAATCGAACAGATGCTATCAGTCATATCCTTTCTTCCTGCATTCTGTCAGACAAAATTAAAATGTCAAATGAAAAAGGCAGCATTAGAGGAAGTTTGGTCAACTGTTCACTTAGTGAATATTAGCTGAGCAGTGGAATCTACTGCCTTTGTGTTGTATACAATGTGCATCCTTTTGGACATTTGAGGTAGTTATCAACATTGGATTCAAGTAGGGGATGCCCTGCCTTCAGTCCTGGAAGTTGACTGAGACAGAGATGATTACTATAGCCCACTGTAGCAGGCATCAAAGTTGTCTATTGTAAAGCTTGTACAGTTTTCCTTTAAAATAAAACATTCCAAAGTAGAAATTCCAGATTCTGAATCTGAACTAGGAAAAAATGCAGGGTTGAAATGTTTAGTTGAATGTCAGGATTAACAAGCTGCAAGATAAGTGAAGAAGCTGGGGAAAACCAGATCACCTCTGCTTGTGTGGGACTCTGTAGAACCGGGGGGGGGGGGGGCGGGGGGAGGAATGGTGTGAATTTATCAGTGGTTTGATGATCAAGTAAAACAAGCAGACCAATTAAGTAAAGTCTGGCATTCTAGCCATCTGGCCCACAAGTGGAAGGAGGTGGCAGCATTGTTTGGAGGGGAAGTGAGGAGGGGAATTTAGTTTGGAATCAACTAAACTAAATCTCTTGGAATTAAAGGGATCATTAACTTGACAGATGCTTCTTGTTAATGACTTTTATATTACTTTGTATTACTAAGCCAGCCTCAGCTGGCCAGCCTAACTCAATAAAGGACTGTAGTTAAAAGTCTTTTGCTTTGGAAGACAACAGGGGACAGACATGCACGCAGCAACTATTCAAGTCACAGCTCCAGCTTGTTGTTTGTCTGAACTTGGCCATTAGGGGTTGTTTGAGGGCTAAATTGTCCCCAGATAACCCACAATCTTTTATTTGAGGTATGTTTAACCGTCAAATTGGTCCTGCCCCCTGGCTTTGGACAACAACCAATGGACCCAAGCTGGGGCATGAATATTCAAAATTTCCACCCATACACACCATTATGTCTCCTTCCTTATACACCTGCCCACCTCCTAAGATGCGGGTCAGAGGTCCTTCTTTGGGAGCCCTCTTTGAAGGAGAGTGGCTACCTAGACAACAGCTTTTTCTGCAGTGGTACCCTGGCTTTGGAACATGTACCTCAAAGCGGTACACCTGGCACCAATGCTTTATTCATTTTGGCACCAGACCAAACCCTTTTTATTTTCCTGGTATCTTAAGATTTGATTGAGATTTTAAATATTGGGTTTTATCATATTTATGTCTTATTGTATGGTGCCTTTTTGTTTGTCTGTATTGCTGTCCTGAGACCCCTGTAAAGCATGGTGTAAAAATGCTTTAAATAAATAAATAATGACTCATAATGTGCACTGTAGTTTAAGTAAGCAAGCCACAATGAACTGCAGTGGATGTGTTACCCCATTGTGTGGGTTTCTTTCAGCTTCATGTTTCACATGAAGGTATGTTATTTCATCTAATTGTGTGCCCAACCAAAAAAAGACAAACTAAAATAGAGAAGTGACATTAGGAATTATGTTACATGCTTTTGGTTTACTCACATTTCAGTGAGCAAATGTTTGGAAAAAGCATACATTAGTTCTTACTTGATGATTCAGTTCTTCGTCATCAGTTTTAATGCAATGCAAAGAATAATAAATGTTATGTAACCTGTTACAGTATTTCGGTAATTCAGCCTAGCTATTTTGTTAATCCTAATCTTCCAAGAATCATCCCTTATCCAGCATGTGGCTTAAAATGGAATGCTTTTATTCCGATCCCACTCTCTTTTGTACTCTGCTGCTAAATAATGTTTGGCTCTTTACAAGCATTTGGTATAATCCAAACATATTCTGCTGCTCTAAAATGTTGTCATTAAAAGCAGTTGAACATAAAGCTTTGAATTACAGCTACAAACTGAAGAGAACCATCATCTTATATTGCTGTGTGATTTGTCAGTTTTGTCTCATTTTCATGTTGCATTACAGTATGTGATTTGTTTGGAGATCCTGTGCTGAAATAACAATTTACTGCTTTATATAAGGACAGAATATTGTCCATGCTTTTGTGACTTCATTTTTGCAGTCACTTATATTGCAAATAAGTGTGGAGCTAAAGGAAACTGCTGTTTTTTATGCCTTCTGCAGAGAAAAGTCAAGGAGACTTAGAACATGGTTGTTTCAGGGAAGCATGGAATAATTCGTGTCTCAAATTTGGAAGTGGCTTTAAGTACAGTTTGCATCATGCCATATAGATATTGTCAATCTTGTTGGTGAACTGCTATGAGTAAGAAGAATACCTGAAATTTAGTGGAGAATCCCTACAAAATTGATGACTTCACAGTGACCCTGTTTGCAAGATTACAAAGAGAAAAATAACCCTTACTGGCTTGTTTCTTCTCTTGTGCACCTGTGCATCCAGTGGAATTTGAATAATTTCTCTTGGCAGCATGACTTGTGACATGCAAACTTTGCTTATGCCATGTTAACCATGGCAACAAGGCAGCAGAACTCTATAACATCCCATGGCTTCTGAATGGTTTGTTGCCTACAGCAACAAGCCACCTGGCCTGGGGTTGCACATCGCAACAGGCCATGCTGCTGATGTAATTATGCAAATCCCCCCAGCCACAGTGATGAAGCCATTACTGTGGTTTATTTTCCTTTCTGTGCATGTGCTTCAACTTGGTCAGTGTAAATTTCCCATTAGTGTTCCTGTCAGAGCCCATTGATGGGGGGGGGGGGCATGCATGTGTGGGATAGCCAATTATCTGGAATAAAGGTATAAATTTACTGATGCATATAATGCTAAATAATTGCTTTTATAACTAAATACGCCAGACTTCCTGTTAAAGTTTTAGAAATTGCAGTAGTCAATAACTAATTTTGTTACTGCTTTGCTTTATTTTCATCCAGGTGCATGTTACGTGTGCTGGATTCATTTGGGACCGAACCAGAGTTTAACCATGCTCATTATGCCCAATCTAAAGGCCACAAAACCCCATGGGGGAAATGGAACCTTAATCCACAGCAGTTCTACACAATGTTTCGTAAGTTATCCATTTTACAACAAGAGTTCTTTTTCAGTATACGGTTATCTGAGAGGAATTATCATACAATCATCAAAACCAAGTTCAGAATTGAGATATAAAGAACACATGAAGGAATTTATAACTCAAAATTTTCATGACAGATCTGTGGTACAGAAGTGATTAAAATGTTATTTATTTCTTTATTATATTTATGTTCTGCCTTTTTCTTTTCAAGGGAGTCAAGGTGTCTTACTTAATTATCCTCATCCTCACAACAACAACAATCCAATATTGATTAAAGTATTAGTTTTTCTTTTAACACAAGTTATACTGTGCTACACATTTTCTTACATTGCTTTTCCCTCCTTGCAAGAGGAAGAAAGACAAGGCATGAATGTAATGTAATGCTTACAATAATTATAATAATAGAGGAGATATATCTTGAGGAACAGATCTCTGTGGAACCATTTTTATTCTCTGTTACTTTCTGGTGCATAAATTGATTTAATCTATGCATCTTTAAATGCCTTGCTTTTTCTGTTGTTGAAAGAACTAAAATAACTTCTTGGGGGTAATTACTGGTTTCACTACTAATCAGTATTAAAATAAGAAAGATCCTGCATGTGAATTATGATGCCATTTTCACATTATATTGTTATTATTATTACTATGATATTGCATTTATATCATACCATTTTTCCTCTTGCAAATAACCCACGGTAGCTCGCAGTGCTTTATTTTATCCTCACAATGACAACCCTGTGAGGAAGGCTGGGACGGTGGTCGAAGACCAGCCCAAAGTCACCCAGTGAGATTCACGATTGAGTGGGACTGTGCACCCCCAATCCATCACCCTAACCACCATACCACACTTGCTCTCAGCAGGAATTTTATTGAAAATAGCAATATAGCCATTGATTCCTTGATTGAAATGAATGGAGCGGGGCAATGTCTCAACCATAATACTGTTTTCATATTTTTGTAACTCAAATATGACAGTAGGACCTTATTACTAAAGAATACCATCAGTCCCAATGGCCTCTGTCCAAATTTCTTTCCCAAAGAAGAGTTGCACAGATTTAAAAGGGCATGTTCTGACATTTCTGTATTTACTCATTGTTGTAGCATGTGGAACAAACAGTCTAGAAATAAATGGGTAAAGTTTTTTTAATCTAACCAGAAGTAGAAAACACCTTGTAAGGACTTATTAGCTGTGTAGCATGTTTTTTATGCTGGTGCTATGATGATACAGTGACCATTTCCTGTTTGGTTTGCAGCTCACACTCCAGACAATAGTTTCCTTGGCTTTGTTGTGGAACAGTATCTGAATTCCAGTGACATCAAGCACTTCAATGTCATTAAAAGGCAGAATCAGTCGCTTGTTTATGGCAAAGTTGATAATTTCTGGAAGGTGAGTTGGTGTACTATACAAATCCTTACTTCATATGAGCAGAATATAAAGCTGAAGTCTTACAATAAACCACTTCTAAATTTATATCAAACAGGTGCACTTTTTTAAAAAAAAGAAAATAATGCCCAGCAGATGTATCTGATAAAGAGCTTTTTGTTAAAAGGTTCAACTTCCTTTTTAAAACTTCAGTGATACATGCACGTATAGACTTCATAATCATTTGGAAGTCTTACACTAGAAAGAAAGTTTTAAATAGGTGCAGCAGACAAGAATGAGGCAATATTTAATCTTGAAAGTAATACTGAAGCTGATTTATATGGATACACGTTTCTGGATTCCGGTTATATAATGGCTCAGTTTACATATAACAGGAATCAGAGGAGGAGGTTTAATGCTTTGGTTTCTGGTTTTAAACAAACTGTAGTGTTTTTTTCTATTTTACACAACTTCAGAAATTATAAACTCTCCTCATAGTAGCTAATGACTGTCACACCTGACTCTAAGTGTTTCTGCAGCACCATGTGTGAAATTTCAAGAGTGATAGGAATTCATTTTTTAGCAAAGGATCTCAAATCAATCAATCTTTTCAAGAAAGTTCAGCATTATAAATGTTGTCAATAAATGTTGTCAACAAAATTCTGTATCCTTAGGAATATCAGAATTCCTTCATAATCAATGTACTCACAACACTGATCACAGCTGAAAATAAGGACCAAGCTTAAGTTACTAGGATAGTCACTTGGGCCCAGTGTAGCAGCCTTCATGCCAAACTTGTTTGTAGCCTGATGTCTGGGAACTTGGGGGTAGTGTAAGAAAAATACAAAAGTTGATCTCTCTAATTTCAGTTACAGTTTGATGTATTAAGTCAGTTATATTTGAGCACTTACTTTGTTTTACATGTTTAAAGATCCATTAATCTGAATTTTATTTAAAAGTGTTATTTATGAAAAGCCCATAATAGACTAGACTGTTAGCACTTTTAGAATAGGATCTCTTTTCTCTAGCAGTTTTATGACCTGCAAACTGGAAATTTTTCTATAATCTTAATACAAAAATGCACCCCATTTTGCATGCATAGCAACTCTTGAATAAGAAATAATATTAATATTTTATGCCACCCAATTTCCAAATTCACTGGGCCTTTTGTAAGAGCAGATAAAATACAATCCAAAATACAATAATAAGAACATAATTTAAAATACAGTACAGAATATAAAAGCTATTTTTAAAGCTACAATAGCCAATAGCTTTCACATATTACTTCACAAGACTTCTTGAATGAGGGAAAAAACTCTTAGCACTAATTGGAAGGTATTTCTTCTGCCAGAAAACAGTGTAGTTGGAGAAAACTGTGAGTTCTACCAAAGAGATTTTGTTTCTTTCTTTCCTTGAAAGTTAAATGTGTATCTTCAGAAAATGAATGCACGAAACACTGTTTGGGAGTATCTGTTGTTCTAGAACAGTTTAAATCGTCCTCCTACAAAACCTTATAAGCCTCGACTAATTAGATGCTCTGTTACATAAACAGTCTTAACCTGGTGCTGGAAAGATACCACTGTTGACACCAGGTGGGCAGCTTGGGGGCTACCACTGAAAAAGCTCTGCTACTTGTTGCCTGCAACCAAGCCTTTCTTGGGGAAGGCGATTGGAGGCAGGCACCAGATTTTAGTGTACAAATAGATTAAAGGCATTCTGTCAGACATAGTTACATAGTTTAAAACTGGCACCACAAAGTGAGCTCAGAAGCACATAGGCAGCCACAACCAGTGGGCCAGAATTGGCATCATGCAATTGGAATTTTGGGCCCTTGTCATTAACCTGGCTCCCACATATTGCATAAGCTGCAACTTTTGAACAGTCTTTAAGGGCAGTTTTACATTGAATGCATTGCAGTAATCCAGTTTAGAAAAAAGCGCCGTGTAGATTACTGAAACCAGGCTATCCCTGTCCAGGTAAGGTGTACCCAGGCCACCGGTCAAAGCCTGAGTCTTATGTGGCAAAGATGCTTCACAGAGCACTCACGAGGTATGAACCTGCTCCTCCAAGGGGGTGAGTGAACCTATTCACAACAAGCCGAATTCCCTCCATCTGGTCAGAATAACCACTCACCAAGAACATTTCAATCTTGTTTGGATGGAGCTTCCATGGTTTAACCTTCTTCCAGTCCAGTGTCACAACCAAGCACTGGTTTAGCAAGTCCACAGCCTCACCTACTGGACTTCTGGAATGGTGCGAGCCAGCAGGCCTAGCAGGAGAGAGCATTGCTGACCTGCCCTATTCTGTTACAGAAATGAGTGTTGGGTCACAGTAGTGCAACATAATTTGTAGAGGCACATGTGATAGTACAAGACATGGCATATACAAATGAATCATTGTTTCCACATGGGCTTCAGAACTCCTGATTTATGCAAATTAATTAACAAAAATTGACATTCTGTTCAGATCACTGAATCGTAAAGCATAATATGTATGTCCTGAATGCCTAAACCCTATGCATGTACACAGAATAAAATGTATTGTGCACACACTAAAGGCATCCTGCTAGTTGCAGTTACCAAATCAGCATTCCATCTGTGGAATACACCAGCATGATTAAGCAGGCCATTTGAAGAAGCATCAATTGTGATTAAAGCTAATTAGGGTTTCCCTTCACCCAGGCTCCGAGTCATCAACTGAGATACAAATTGAAGAGTTAGCCTTAACTACTGTTTCAGAGAAAGTTTTGCCACGATTCTACACCAAATGTGTAGAACTTGTATGCATTCTTTCTGATAGATGAACTCTGTTTAGCTTTTTAAATTTATCAAAGGGATTGGGCTGAGGAGAGGGAAAGGGAGAGGTCCCTCTACCATGCAGATAAAATACTACTTAGATGCTACTCAGTCGGCACCTGTTTGAATAAAGAGTGTTTTACACATGCATTTCTCAAAACATAATTTGTTTTACAGAAGCTAATACTGAGCACACAATTCAAGAAGGAAAGAACGTATTTTTCTGCCAAATTGTGTTTATATAAGATATGCTTCAACACTCTTTCAGTATGTTTATACATTAAGCTAGGTTGAAAAGAAATAATATAAAGAGACTTCGGGTTCTACCATACTTCCTGGTGAGATTTGAAAAGTATCTGCTATTGAGAATCCATTTCTAGTTACATCAGTCTTGTTGCATTAAATGCAACATTTTGAATAGTAACCAAGTTACTTTCATTCACCTACCTGAAATCTTTCCTGAAGTTCATTTCATTTCAACTTAGACCAAAAGTTTGGCCTTTTGGTTTTTCTGTCTGTAGACTTATTTGGTACTGTAATATGCTATCTTTTCCTTCAAGTAGCCCAAGACGAACCATAATTCTCTTCCTCCTCCTCTTTCTCCTCCTTTCTATCTTATCCTAACAACATCCTGGTGACGTAGTTCAGGCTTGGAGTCAGGGAAGGCTCATTGGCACCCAGTGAACTTCATGGCCACGTGAGCATTAGAGCTTGCTCTGCTGCTGCCCAGCCATCTGTGGACCATTTAAGAAGTACACAAGTACAGCCTGCCTCTAAGAAAATGTTGGGTTTTCTTCAAGTGGAAACTGATAATGGATATGGATGATAAGAGATTAATAAAGCCAGTCCATCATTAAGCATTGTTTTGGGAATATTCAGCATGCCTAGATGCCTGCACTGTCCTGACAGGATCTGGACTTCTGTCCACATAGGGCATCTGGAGGTGTTGAGGAGACCTTGACTGCACCTATAGTGGAAGACAACTCTTGGCCGTCCACCCTCCAGTGACAAAATGGACGTCTCAGAAATTTAGTTTCTCACTAGGGCTTAAGGCCTTGCACCTAAGTGAATTTTTATGGCTGAACTGATCTAGACATTTATTTTTACAGCCAAAGTATTTAAGGTGACTGCTATCTTACTTTCATGTACAAGTTATTCGTATGAAATAGTAGTCCTTTTAAAATTTCTTAAGTAACTACATTAGGGAAGACAAGAGTGATTTTTCCAAGATTGTTTGGAAAACATTCCAACATCTCCACTTCTTGATGTTACTGTCATTAGATAATGAAGCTGCTTGTGTGAAGCTTTGTCTGCCTTTGTGCTGTCTTTTGGAACTTAAAATAGGTATCATAGCACAGCTGATGGTGGTGGAGAATTAGCCTGCAAGCAACCAGTTCTAGCCTCTGTATAAATAGAAAATGGTTTTAAATATGTGAAACTTAGCATAATTACTTTAGGAGAATGCTATTCCCATTGCACTATGTATAAATGATAAAGGTCACAGTTTAAGTAGAATTTTCTTGACTAGATATCATTATTCACTGCATTTTATTGAACTAGGCTTTACAGTCTTCCTCCGATCAGTGTGTATTTGTTTTCTCAAAGCCTTTCATAATGTTAGCTCACACAGAGATTGCCTTCTGAATCTTAAATAATAGTTAACAACCCTAATTATTCTTATTGCTACTATTGATGCTACTGCTACATCGCATTTATATCCTGGCTTTTTTGCCAAGGCAGCTCACATAGTTCCACTTTATCCTCACAACAATCTTGTGAGGTAGGTTGGCTTGAGAGACTGCAACCCAGTGAGCTTCATGGCCAAGTGGGGACTGGAACTGGTACCTCCTGGGTCCCTAGGCCAGCACTCCAACCGCTGGCTCTCTTTAGCTGTTTTAAGCGTCTTTCCTCCAGCTGTCTTGCTGATGATGGTAAAGAAACATGCAGCAATGCTCTGCTTTTCCAAGAAGAAAGCACATGCAAATGTTTCAAATGGAATACAGTGGTCTTAGATTTCTTTTTCCAAACCATTACTTCTAATTTGTCTTTAATTTCTCTTTCCTTTGGGACAGAAGCATAGTTAGTTCATTTAACTTATTTGTTCTCTTTTTACAGAACATTATGGCCTACCAAAATAGCTCACTTTAATAAAAGAGGGAGGCCTTGTCATCAGGCTCACAAATGGAAGGGAGAACATAAGGGAAAGGGAGTAGAGGGGGCAGCTCAAGA